CCCTTCCCTCTTCCCCAACCCCTGCCACAGGCCCTGCTTCCTTGCTTCCCCAAGCACAGAACCCTCCAAACTCTCAGCCTGTTGGAGCTGTCTTTGTGATTCAAGTCATTACTTCTTGGGACTCTTATCCCCCAGCTATATGTAATGGGGAAAAAAAGCCTAACTTAAAAAGAAAAATGCAATTTCACATTCCTTTCAGAGGCCTTGTAACTGTTTTGTGATCAGAAGCAACCTGGTGACACTTTGGGCATAGGAAGGAGTTAGAGAGCTAAATTAGCCAAATATGAAATTAATGAGAATTTTGGAGTGTATTGTGGTAACTCCAGAGGAAAAAGGAGGAGAGATAGTAAGTGAAAGATAGCAGAGCCTGAGGGAAAGAAATCTTCACCAGTGAGAAATTCCAGTAGAAGGACTGTTGGAGGAAAGTTTCAGAACAGTGATGCTTAATACTCAGTTTTAAGTTTACTTCCTATTCTGTGAAAGCTTAGCTTCCCTAAAGCATCCCCAAACACTCAGTAGACACCTTCTGTAGCAAAACCCTACATTCATGGCGTTTTAGGAACAAAGGGAGAAAGGTAATGATACCTGTGGAGTCAAGAGAGGATGGCAGCCACAGAAAGTGAGCAATCCAGTGATCAAGAATTTAGCAAGAGCAGGAATTCAGACTGAGGGGTGATCATGAGGATGTACTGGAGTCCTAGTCAGAATAGATGAGGGCATGGACCTCCCAGAGGATCGGAACAGGGACTGGGCTATTCTGATTGGATGTAAAGGGAAAAGGTGACACCGAAGCGTTGTAAGCCTTGAGGACATTTGGGTTACACACACACAATCTTTCCTTCCTCTGAGTCCCCCCAGGATTTTGTGCCCCTGTGAGGGTGCTTTTATACATAAACGTCTGTGTACACCTCCCCCTTAGCGAGACAAGACGTGAACCCTGCCAAGAGGGGACTGTCATCTTACCTCACTCATCCTGGGGTAAAAGTCGGGTGGGAGTGGGCCAGCCTCTTCCTCCCTGATTCCCTGTCCCACCAGCTACCATTAAAGAGCACTTGCTATTTGCTAGCTGTACACTAATGCATTGTCTCATTACATCCCATGAGGACTCCATTCTGTACCCTTGTTCTTACCTTACGGAAGAGAAAACGCAGGCTGAGATGGATTAACTGAGTTGTCCAAAGTCACTATTAAGGGGAACTGAGATTTGAATTCAGGTCTGTCCGACTCCAAAGCCTGTTCTTATAACTACTACATGGACACCTCTGACTAGGACTACTGTTTTCTCCACTTTATTCATTTATTT